CTTGCTTTTCCTCTTGTACACACTTCTTGTTCGTGTGTTCAACTATGACTTGTGCAATCTGCTCAGAGACCAGCAGGTAGTCTGGCACATCCGTGGCTCGCCCAGCCCCTGAGCCTATTGCCTGCAATGGCGCGTTCAAAAAGCAAAGATTCCGTTTGCTTGTGCTGGGACTCCAAGGAAACTGATCATGAACATTCAGCCCCATCAACTTTCTTCTCCCCAGAATCCTACGATTCTTTTAAGTCTAGCTCCAAACACCGAAGCCAAACTGCCAGCCAGCCACTCAAAGGAAAACACTCAGCCAGGACTCTTTCAGCAGTCCTGCTTTCGCTAGAGGATCCTTAGCTCCGCTTGTCGTGCTGAGTTGTTGCCTGCAAGACGTATTCTGCGAACTGTGCAACGCTTGGAATGCACGGTTGCTCTGCTGACTGACGCCTTTGCTCTTGCTGCTTCAGCCGAAATACGTTGGAAACCTCTTCTCGCTTGCTCAGGCATACATGCTACAGGCAACGTGAAGTAGAAATTGGCGTTGCAGGGACAAAGCAAATGACTGTGAGCCCCTACTAACCTACTTTACTGAGGAACATGTCCGAAGCTTGGAAACCTGGCTTGTAAGAGCTGAGGGCAGACGATGTAGCCTAACGCAAAGCCCAGTTGGTGCTCGAGTCAGCGGACAGTTGCGACATCAGGCTGCACTCAGCAGCCGCTGGCTCAAGGGCATGGTCGCACATCCTCAACCCAGGCAAGTGGGCCTGCAAACAAGATGTGTGAGGCTTAGCCACTTCGTCCATGAGTCCATGAGCACAAGGCGGCATCAAATGCACCAAGCCATCTTCTGAGATAGCGCAGAATCCTTGCTTGGCCTGTCAGCAGTCAATAACATATGTTTACTCTGACCCACTAGCGCTTGGCCTCATCAAGCTCATCCTCGTGGCGCAGTGCAGTGATTATGGGCGGCACGGGCTCAAGCATGGCCTCAAGGAGACCTGTTCTTCTAGCGTACCTCGTGGGGTCATGTAACTCATGTAGGGTCGAGGGATAGTATGCAGACGTGGTGTCAGCTTTCCATTGCTTGACTTCAGCTAGTGCATGATTGGTTCAGATGGCCAAGTGCGCAGGGATGGTGACCATGGGCTAAGCCTCAATCGGCACGCAGTGTAGGAGAACATGCCAAACATGATCGGTGCCTGTCTTACCTTACTCCTCGGAGCTTGCCTGCGACTTTTGGCTGGACATGATGGGGCCGGCTTTTCACTCATGTTTCAAACTTGGGGCCTGAGCGAGCCTCAATTAGAAACATTCATGCTTGGCAGAAGAGACTCCATGCTGAATGGCAGCTTCTTTGTGTTTGGCCATGGGCAAAGACGGTTCCTACCCGGAGCACGGAGCAAGATCGTCTTGGACTCATGCTTGATACGTAAAGTCACCCAAAAGCTCATCAGACCAGTCGCGCTGCTAATTTTGCACAGTCGTGTCAGGTTCTGATTCTATAATCACCATGACTAGTCTGCGAGTTCAGCACCGAACACTCTTGACTTGTGATGTTCTTCTCTAGATGAGATGCGTCAGCTCTGCTAGGAGGTGGCAGAGCATGGGAAACCAGAAGTTTGGTCCCATATTGCTTCAAGGACCTTTCATCTTGCAAATCATGCAGCGGAATGTTCAAGCTTGGCCTTGTCATACATGGCTTCAGACGTAAAGGTTTTCAAGCTCCTGATCAATTTGTGGGAGGAGGGCGCCATACCGACGCTTGTGGGGTAAAACTCCTTGCATCTGCATGCAAACCTTGACAGCTCAGCTCAGATGAAATGTGGAAGATTATGGCTTCAACAGCACAACCACCTGGTGAGGACGGAATGTTCATCTGAAGAAATCGTTGAGGAAGTGGACGAATCGGTTCCTGGCTACTGCAAGATCGATCTTGGCGTGGCGAGTGCAATGCGCACCACACTTTCCGGTAGGCAAGGAACTATCCGGCCCCTGATATCTGGCCCTTGAGCTTTGACTGGGTGTCGTTCTAAAATCCCTCTTCTATGTGTTTCCTCGTGGCACTTTTTGTTACAGCCTTGCAAAAACCCTGGCGCGCGGAAGGTGGCGGAAGCCCGAGCGACAGGGGGTTCGTACTATGCCAAAAATGAGGCGCCAAAGTCTTCTGAAATGAGACACCACAAGCTTGTCAAGCAGGATGCTGAAAGCTTGTCCAGAGGCATGCGGGCTCCAGAAACTCAAGCATGTCCAGCCTGCCCTTTATCCATCCCCAGGGCCTGAAATTTAGGGGCCCCACAAGGCCAAATGCCTTTAAAACGCATTGTGCCGGGTCCTTTGTCCAACCTTGAGGGGCCCCGCAAAGCCAAATCCGTTATTCCAGCATTCAAAAATGCACTGCGCAGGTCATTTATCCATCCCTCAGGGCCCTCAAACTGAGGGGCCCCACAAGTTGGGTGACCAAGACGGGCCAACC